GTTAGCGAATGTGTATCTAACTATGCAAGAAGAAATCGGAAAACCTTCAAGATAGACTTTACGACATGAACCGTATCTTTAGTAAAATTTTCAGCAAGATCGAACTCCAATGATCTTCATTCTAAAAAACTGATTTTCTATAGATCCTATCGATTTCGAAAACAAAAATTGTTGTCTTATCATCAATCAGAGATTTTGAAGAAGAAATTTTAGTATTTGAAGTTGCTTTCGAGCTTCTAATTTGATTATAAGAGCATTGCTTCCCTATCAATATTCGTACTGCGTCGCGTCTCAAACAAAAATTATTTTTGTTCGAAAAATCGAAACATTCACAGAAAAAACTTCGAATAAAAATTCTGTTTACCACATTCGAAGTTTCTTTTAAATTGAAATGCATGAGGATGTAGGTGTGGGTATAGATGAGAGTGAATCCATGCAGAACTCACACCCAGACCCATTCTCAAATACATCGAGTAATAATTCGTTGGTCAACAATTCTAAACGCCTACTCACTGATTGTGTTTACTTGCAATGTGAAAATATGCAGCGAGAAAATGTCTTATCAAATTGTGTGCATGTAATAACTTTTTAATCAAGTTAATCAGAATCAAGCGGATACAACAGAATCAGCATTGATAGCCAGCTACTTTAATTCGATCTTTATTAACTAACGCTGTAATCGTGGATGATGATAGATCAACTACAATGATCCACTAATCGATTTTAACAAACTTTTAAGGTTTGATAGAGCGATTATTTAGAATTTACAACAGAGTAGAAAGGAATGAAAATTAGAACAATATGTTATTGTATCAATCAGCCTTGAATCGAATCAAACGTTTTCAAATTGCGAGCCATGTTCTCAAAAGTAGACAGCATACATAGACTTATTCAAAGTCATTTGTCACAGTGTATCCAAGCGAATCTTTCGAGCCAAATTGGTTCATTCCCATAAGTCTTCAAAAATAACCACTTCAAATCTTATCTAAACCCGTGCAAAGCTAAGCTCCATCTTCTTGTGAATGCAATAGTCGATTTGAGTCTATGAACGAGTAAAAGAAAATGAAAAGATTCACTATTTTAGAAACATTATACGATTGATCCTTCATAAGTGAATGTCTCTTATGTGAAAACTTCGACAAGAACGTGATTGCTTATTTTCTATAGAAAAAAGTTAGAAGCACTCTCATGATTAAAAGTCACGTAAACATTTTTTCCGAATCCTTGCATAGATGTCTATGGTATTGCTTAGTCAATCGATAATCATAAACATTCGTCACCAAACGTGCTTTTCGAAATGGTGCACGAGTGCTGCAACAGCCATTTAAGAAATTCATCTGACTGATAAGTGCTTATATCATTGTATATGTCACTCAAAGCTTGAAGATTGAATATATTATTGACAAGATCAAGTGAACTTGTTCGATTTGCTATTTCGTAAGACTAGCTCGCATTAGATCACCAGTGGTGACCAACTTAGGGCATCGAATTGCTTTGTATTTAAATCTAGTCGATAGGCCTGCACAACGTCAGTAGTGTAGACGTCAAAAAGCCGTTTTGATATTTCGACTGATAAATTGTGCTTTCAGGTCTGCATCTGCTCGGCTTTTGCTTGGTATTTACGACTTTTCGAGCGAAACGTCGGTAATCGAAGACAAATAGCCGAAAACCAGTGATGACTTAGTCGTTATGACATGTATGTCGATATTTGAACAGATTTTCTGTGAAACATATGTTGAAAATGCATAAAGCACCAAATTTCACAATGGTTCATCCGTATCAATTAGTCGAGCTCGAATTAGCACGTGCGATCACGATCTTTCGGCTTATACACTTGAAAGCGTTTGGTGAAAGATGGTCAGGCTGATCGTAAGTCTCGCTCATCTCGAGACTCTTGATGGGTGCTTCTAGAAGTCCCATTGCCACTTCACAGCATGCCATCGAAGGTGTCAAAGTTGTCATGGTTCATTATTCAAGAATCATGAAGTACCGCTCTCGTTTGAAATTCGTACTATATGGAAGTGTTAGTTGAACTAGACTCGAGAAACCAGATTGAAATTAATTACATGTAGACAGCTCGTGCCTTTGTCACTATGCAGACGTTCACTAGTTTCAACTTTGAAATAGAGTGGAATATTTCTTCATCTCAACTTATTTAAAAAAAAACGTAGATCCCTCGAATAGTTTTCGTTCGTAATTTATTCAAAATAACTAGGATAAAAGCACATGTTTTGAAACGAATGCGAATTACCACCACAAGTATAAGAAATTGTTTGCAAGTTTTATCGAATAGTCCTCAAAAGGTTTTTCATGGTCGATAACTGCTTGTAGAATTTTGACCATTTTGTCGTCTACAAATTGCAAACATAGCCAGAATAGATTATGACTATTTATTGTGTCCTTTCCAAATAAAAATTGCACAATCGGTTCGAAAGTATGTGATGCTATGGCCATCTTGAGACACTGCATGTTAGGACAAAGTTTGATGAGCATTTGAACATGCTCAAGTGAACAAATATGGTGAACAGTCACATTTGTAATATTATTATTTAATATCAAACAAACCGCTTCACCTTGTTCTGTGGATACATCTAGTTTTTGCAGCAATGGCACTGTGGATAGTATCAACGTCTGAACATTTGGCACATGATGCAATATTTCGACAAGCTGATTATGATGAAGTTCGAAACATTCAATAACTAATTGAGTGAGTTGTATTAAAGGAACAATTCGCTTGAAGTGGTCAAGCAATACACGACTATCTTCAATATATCTATCCATGAAAACAAGACTATTAACACGATGAAATTTAATAAAACAATTAGCAGTGGCCTGCTGACCCCATATAACGATTTCACGAGATAAATTCAAACTAGACTCTTGATCAAAGCATGTATCGTTATCCATACGTTCATATAATTCATAGCCGTTTCGTCTATAATTAAAAACAACAATAAAATGTGCAATCTGTAAACATTTCTGCTTGAATACCTGTACGGTTTAGTTGAATAAAACATGACAGAAGGATATTCCATCATAAACAAAAAATGTCTATGTGCAAAGTACCATTGACGTTCGAACCAAAATGACGTATTGAATCGTTCGATCAACACATGATAAGCATGAGATTCTACCATGTCTGCAGGAGTTAAATATTGAAAGTCGAACGTACGCAACTGAGGCATTTTAGATTGAATCAATTGTTGCCATCGATCAGCATTCAAGTATGTATCGTCATTGTCACTCATTACAGAAACATACAGTCGTTGAAGATGAGAGGAAATTTTCGCTATAAAACTTTCGAATGTGTCAAAAGGAACTTGATGCATAACGAGAGAGAGATGCGTCAAATTGAGTGATATCATTGGTAGTTCAATAGATGTACTTGAAGATCCATCTATATTTTTGCATGACAGATGACAAAGTTGAGGCATGTACGAAAGAAGATCGATGAATCCATTGAGATCACAGTTGTGGTTCATAATGAGATGCTCAATGGTACTTTGCTGTTCTTGTTTAGCGATCGACAATCGACCTGACTTAAGGCTCAATTGGAATGTCAATTTGCAATATTTCAAGATGGGCAGACGAAAAAGCAGACAATAGATAAGATTCTCATCTTTCACTGAGTCAATGATACTGATGGACAAAGAATGGAGATTAGGTAGCAAAGCTAGACTCGTGATGAGGAGCACGATTGTATCATATTCCATGTTGTCTAAGATGAGAGCTTTGAGACCAGAAAACGTTGAGTTAGTAGAGAATGATGCTCGAAAGAGCTCAAGACAAAAATGATTGTTGAGACGGAATGAAACGATGCGAGGAAAATTCGAGGCGACAACATTTTTATAGCAGCGTTGAACAGTTATTCTGGAGACAGACGAAAGATTGAGTCTGAAGGGAATAGGCGAAAGATTGAGAAGTCGTTCGAAACGAATATTTTGATTAGAAAAAGCTTCTAATATATGAAGACAGTCGAGATATTCGAAAACTTCATAGATAAGTTCATTCGACAGATGTTCAAAACTAGTGATGAACAAGCTATTCGAGAGTAAGAGAAAGAAATCTATTTTTTAGATAGCTGAAGATTTTCATTTCTGACCTATTATTGTTATTGGTGGTCGCTAGAAGAAAACAATCGAACAACCAGTACATAAAACAAAGAGTCGAGATATTAGTCTACCTGGTAGATATTGCGTTTTTTCATCGTACTGCTCCACAGAACTAATGTGTCGTTTTGGTTGATTCATATAAAGATTTGTCTTCATTACATGCAGAATCAATGCATCAGCTTGCATATATATACGTAGCATGTGTTTACAGAGCACAGAATAGAAAAAAAAGGCCTCATCGCTTGATCGATTACAAGCGAAGGACGCCACGTAATATTCATACTATGACACATGTTTGCTGTGTAGTGTGTCATAGTTTACTAATAATACTACCTTAGTACGTGGCATTTTTTCGTGCTGATTAAAATTACGGCGCCGCTTCTCTCAACAGATCAATTTCAACTTCCTATGAATTCATCCAACGAAAATTGTTTCGTATTATGCACACTATCAGTCCTGCAAGAATATGGCTTTATATATGCTGTCCTACCCTAAAGTAAACACAAAAGTTTTGTGTTTATTACGAAGAATTTTTCGTTTTATGACCTAAAAAGTCGAGTAGTATGTGAACTTGTTTGAACAGCAAGTTCATATCGAGTTTTACCAAAAAGTTCTTGTAAAGAGTGGATGTGGATAATTATGTGTGTGTGTTCGATATCCACATCAACAATGGTATTAATGACAATTCATAAATCAAAAGAATTTCTCGTTGTAAATTGAAACATTTTTTCATACGAAAATCTTTATGCAAAAAAGAACTACAAAAAAAAAAAAAAACAACATAAAAATTCGAAAAAGTTAATCATAAGAAAGTAAGACTACAAGATGCTAAACTGAAATAACAATTAAGAATGAAGATATTGTTGATAATAAAAATGTTGAATGCTTTTATTCTACATGTACAAGATCTTTATTGTCATGTTCATCTTTGTTTTCTTCAACACGTAATTTATTCATCGAACGTGTAACACGATCACTTGTAAGTTGATTTGATGCTGGACCTATATCACACTCATCGAAATCTGATCGAAGCCAATCTAATATTTCTGTTTTAAGTATAGGTGTTGTTGTTGATTGACTTTCGTTTGCATCCGTTATGCTATCATTTATTACTGATGGTGGTAATGTATCATCTTCATTATGGTCAAAATCTTCATGATGTTGTGCATGAATTTTATAATGATTTTTCATACGATACGCCGACGGAATATATTGATTACAGACTTTACATATACGTTTTTTTAGTTCTTTTCTTACTGATGAGCAACAATAATCAAATGGTAACATTTCATTCTGAAAAACCAAAAAAATCGTTTTGTTTCTATCAATATGAAGTGAGTGGAGAAAATGAATAAATAGCGCAATGGAGTAATCAGGATCTTTTCATCATGAGTTGTTTCTCAGCTGAATTATGTTGAGAAATGAGCAGCATTGGTCAATAAAAAATCAAGTGGACAACAGTTTTTTTAAAAACTTATTATCATCAGAAAAACTGTTGTTGATCGAAGAGAAATTTGTTATTCTCAACTAAAAGATGAGCTCGTTCGAAAGTACAAATAGAACCTTTAGTGATATTGTGAAAAAAAAAATACCATTGAATCGTCATCATTTGAGCGCCTGTTACATGGCAAAAAAGCGGTCAATTGACCTTTCTGAATCAATTGCTTAGATCACAAGATACAATATATTAAAATGACATCACTTAAATCTTTCTACACGTATGTGTCAAGATTATTCGATATCAGACAATTGGCATCATTTCAAAAAAAAAACCCTAGGTCATCGATTTTGAATTTACGAGCAAGTGCTCAATGGCCTTACCCCTGACTACAGCAGGAATGACATGAATCTTGTTCATGCTTGCTGACAATCGAAATTGGAACAATGTTCATGATTTGTTTTTGTAAAAAAAAATGAGATACGAGAACTAATCTTTACTGAGTCTCGACCAAAAAATTTCTCTGAGTCTAGTGAAATGAAAAGCTATATTCAATCTTGCTTATGTCCCAAAGTTAAGAAATACGAACAGATTTCGACAAGAAAACAACGGAAATCACTTCTACTAGTCATCTTCATTAAAAGCAGAACAAATCTACAAATTCCATTGCATATCTATGTTCGAATCACGGCTAGCTATGTGCGGAACCGGTACTCATTATGTTTTTGTCACTTCTCCGTTTTTCCATTGATCATTGGAACAACGAAACGAAGAGCAAACTGCTTAGTCGATCTATCGATACTACTTATATATATTAGAAAAATCAAAATACGAATCGAATAAGTATCTTCTATTTGAACCGTTAGATCTTATTTCTATCATGATTCCGGTTTTTTTTATGCTAGTCTATATGACGATAATATATGCTGATGACTGATAGATCTAATGCTTTATTCAAACCTGTGTATTTTGAATAACAATGCCATGAAATTGAATTCGTTGAAATAATGATCCATAAAATTGTCCTTTTTGATAATCTCTATCTGCCATTCTAACACCATATGGTGTACGTTCAAATGGTACAGGAGATGGTAAAAATCGATGAGGAAATACTCGAACATAATTTGAACGCCATGGTCCACAACATTCAATAGAATTACAACGAATAATTTGTAAAGTATATTGTGTTTGTAAAACATGTATAGCACACCAATATTCATCAATATCATATTTTGGTTGTTCACCAAAATGTTCTCTTGGTCCACGAGCATTTTCTTGATAATATTCATCCGATGCATGAACACGAAATTCATGTCCTTCTTCTGCTTCTTCTTCAGCACAAACTCTATTTAAACAAAAAACTATTAATTAAATAAAAAAAGAAAAATTAAATTAACCTTCGTAAAAGTTCATCCATAACAAATTTTGTATCAACTTGTCTACGTTCATCTTCTGATGTTGCTGGTGGATTAATATATTCAGCGACACATGGAAATCCATCAATAACAGATAGATTCCATCTTTCAGCTAACATTTGTCCAGCTTTACGAAAATTTAATTTTTCTAAATCAATATTTACTGTTACACCAGAATCATTTAAATGTGAACCAAAATGATCATGTGGTAATATAAGACCAGCTAAATCATGAGATAATGGAGCCATACGACGTTCAACTATATTATAAGCTGATTGACCAGGACTAAAAATTTATATATATATATATTAAAATAATTTTTTTTTAGATTCAAAAAGAAAAACATACGCATGTGTAAGAACAAAAAGTGCATCTAAATTATATTTTTTAAATTTTTTAATACTTGCAACCAATGTTTTTGGAAAACGTGGATTTTCATCAGGACCACCATCAACAGTAACAATAACAATTGGTTTAACTTGTCCAGTTTCATCACGTGCTACTTTTTCAAATTCTTTTAAACAAACAAGACGATCAAAATCTATTGTATGAGTTTTAGCACTTGATAGATCATGTTTAGCTGAACGTATAGCTACATATGTTGGACCTGAATAACCTAAATCTCCATCTTCAGATAAAAGACATGCTGCATATACACTTGGTGTTAATTGATGTCGAGGTGCAACTACCCAATCATGATCCGGTAAACTTATTCGATAATCCAAATGCATTAACATTGGTGCTTGTACTCGAGCCGCAGGTAAACCTAATGGAACTTTACATTTATCATCTTGAGATAAATAAAGAACACAATCATTGCCGAATATTGAAGCTAAATCTTTCATATAACGTATTGTTGCTGTTGCAAAATGACCATCTTCATGTTTTCCATGATCATCATTTTGAGCACGACGAAGACGAACAGGAGCAGTATTAACATGACGACGACCATCTCTTGATGATGCACGATGAGGTAACAGACTAAATATTTAATAAAAAAAAATATATATAAGAAAATTTTATATTAGTACATATTCACAATTAGATCATTAAAATAAATTATTTATTTAATTAAAATATGATAACATCTAATCAAGATAAGAAAAGTCTAATAAAATATTTTATTAGACAACATTAATCTATTTTCTAATCAAATTTGTACAAACTTAGGCTTGAAGTGAATCTCAATATAATGATTGTCACAATGACATTGACTAGGTTTTTAGTTATCAGATTCATTTTTAATTAACATTGATTATAATTTATTTTATATATTCAACAAATAAATATCAAAATGAGTGATTCAAACGAACGATATCTTATTTTTAAATAAGGGTTTAAATAGAACTAAACCATCGAGAAATATTTTCGAATATTGATCGATTTAGGCTCGAACATTAATTCGACCTGAACAAAATGAGTTATTGTTAAAATATTAATTTTTATGAAATTGTATATGATGATTCAAAAAACTAATGATAGAATTAATGAAAAATGTTCTTTGATAGAATTTTAATTATTTACCGATAATAAAGTGTTGTTCTTTTAATATCATAACCTCTTTGTCTAATTTTTTCTCTTAAATCATCTAATGTTAAACAAGGTCGAATAGTTTCTGATCGTCTTCGATCATCACTTGCTCCACCAACTTTTGCAATTTCTTCAATTATTTGTAATAAATCAGGACATTGTTCTTCAATACGTGGTCGACCACCACCAGGACGATAAATTTTTCTTAATTGTGGATGTAATTCAGGCTTTGTTTCATATAAATGTTCAACCTATAAAATATAATCAAACAAAGTAAAAGAAAATAAAAAGAAAAGATTAATACTATTTTTCGTCGTTTAACTCTATATTTATTTGAAGCTCTTTGTTTTGATTGAAGACGTCTCAATGCAAAAGTCTTTGTTTTTCTATCTTGAAATAATTGTTTTAATTGGTGTCTATTTTCTAATGTTAATAAACCCATTTGTTTAACTTGTATTAATGAAGCAATTCGGTCATTAATTGCACTTAATTCTCTAAAAACTCGTTCTTGTGCTGGTTGTCTTTTATTTTTTGGTAATGATTCTAATGGAACAGGACGTACAGATGGTAATTTATGTAGATTTTTCATCAATTCTTTATCGGTTAATTTACGTTTTCTAACATAATAAGTTTTTTTCTTATTTTTCTTGTTTTTTTCTTCATCATTCTCTGCATCATCATCATCATCATCGTCATCTTCATCATCGTCTTCTAGATCATCTTCATCAAGATCATCTATAGACTTTGATTGTTTATCATCTATTCTATTTTCATTATTATCATCATCATCATCATCATCATCATCATTTGTTGTATTATTAGATTGATCAATTTTAATTTTTTTTGTTGGTCGACAACGATTAAGTTTTGATTGTGTTGAAGAAAGACATGATGATTGTTGTTCAAGACCTTGATTAGAAGGTATACGAAGTTCATTATAGATTTCTAAATATTCTTCGATTTTTTCTTTAACATATTCTTCATTCCATTTTATTTCACTCCATTCAAGTTGAGCATTATGATGTTTTATCTATTTTAAAAACAGAATTTTCTTATTTTATTTCTGATGAAAAAATAAACTTACATCTTTTTTTTCATCAGGTCGAGCTTTCATATAAGCATCAATAAATGTCTTATAAAGACTTGGACCTTGAATTTTTTGAATTCGTTTCGTAGACATGACGAACTATATCAATCAACTAACAGAGGACAAGTAATGACGCTCACCAAGAATAAATAAAAGAGAACGAAAACGAACAAGAAAAAAAAAAAAAAAGCTGCTCCAAAAAGTAAAAGAAACGCGTCGACGACTTCTCTCTCCCTTTCTCTGTCTATCGCTTGTACATAGTAACGACTGCGAGTGACTGATAGTTATTCTTATCGAAATTTTTGACGATAAGGACACTATGTCTATTTAACAGAAAGGAACACAAAACAAAAATCAAACTACATATGAGTGGATCCAATCACGAGCAATATACAACTCGTTACCAATGTTACTAACAATAGGAGCCTGTCGGGGTGACCCTGAATTTGTTCAGGTCATAGATTGACTCGACAGCTATTACTTTAAAAGTAAATGTCAGTTATGATCATATTCTTATACGAACGTTGTCAAGATGCCCTGAAAAATGTATAGGACGTACTAAATAAGTGAAGAAAAACAAGACGGATTTAAAAACTTTATTGAGAATATTATGAGATCCTGATTTGGATTTGAAAAAATTTAATGAATCAAGTACAAAAACGTTGGACTCGACTAGGTCCACTAGTTGTTCATACAAAGAAGAAAAGGAAAAGAAAAGTTGACCTCACAATACAAATATGATGTCGTCATCGATGCTTTAAAGTAAAACTAAAAAAATCGATTCACAGGAAAGTTACGTCAGTTTTTTTTTTCTTTCCTATATATGAATACCATATTCATATCATTTTCGTTCGTTTTATTTCATTAAAATACAGTTGAATATACCCATTTTTACATAGACGTAATCAAGCTTTTGATCACTATGAATAATTTCATTGAATAATATTTTTTCGAAAAAATTCTTTCATTTAATTTTAACACAAATACTTTCACTTATAATAAAAATATATTGATTAATCAAGAATAAAAAATTTTTAAAAAATCTATTTATATGTTATTTTAAATTTATGCAACCTGCTGTACCATCTAGATTAAAATGAAAAAGAGAGAAAGTATTGTGATGATAAATTCTAATCCATTGATTATATTTGAGGATATGAAATGTAAAGTATAAGTGATCATATTTCATCCAGTGTTGTTCACCATCAAAGTTGTATGTTGACTATTTTATTTGAATTATTCAATCTTAATAGAACATGTGTTGAACGATATAAGAAACAAATTCGTTGGACGGACATCTTTTCAGAACATTTCATTGTTTGATATAGTTAAAGGAGAATAAAGTATTCAACTGAAAAATGTTTCTATTCGATTGATTTGTTGTAAAACTGACAATTTCATGTGAACATATGCAAGACAATCAATTTTTTTGTTTGATTTTCAATCATTTGAATTTATTCGAATAATCTGAGTTTAGTGTTAACAAACAATAATTGATCTTCATTTGTTATTATTATTATAATAAAACGATTTAATGTTGAAGACGAACAGATTTGACGAGTAAGATTATAAAGAAAAGCGGAGTTCTTCTTGAACTCTCTTATATATTTCGTTTGATATTATTCGAGATTACTTTCAATGAAGAATATATCTTCGTAGTCATTTCTTGTTCAAGAATAAAGCCATCTGCTTTCGTTTGTATTTGATCAATTTCTTTTTTCTATTGATCAAGATTTTGAACAGAGAATTGTTTAAGCTCTAGGCATTTTTTTTTAAATCACAAATAATTCATCCTCATAGAACAATCCTGATGTTTCTTTACGTGATCTGAGTGAGGATTCTTGTTCCAGCAATGATATACTACATGTGATTTTCGTCCACATATCTCAATAGTATATTTTTGAGACATGACATTCTATTACAAAGAAAACGATTCATTATGTTGACAATATTACCCATAGAAAATCGCATTCAACAATGAAAAAAAAATTTTTTCATAAACATATTGCTATATACAACAAAAATAATGAGAAAATAGTTCAGTTCATTTTTATGGTGTAGATCTGGGTGTAATTTTGAGCGTTCTCTTCGATTACTATGACGAGGGTGTGGGTGTCGATAGGGATAAGATCCTATTCACATTGACCCACACTCACACCCTCAAATTCTACTTAAAAAGGGAATTATACTTCCTCTTGATAAATTGCAAAGGAATCTCGAGCTCGTCCACAGACAGGGTCAGAGAGTTGAGTACATTCCATACAACTTCTTTTTTCGAATTACGCCACTAAATCGATGCAAATTGATATTGTGTTACGAGCCGTCAATGAGACCAACCCCTTTGTAGCTTTGGTTTCAATCAGATTGTAACTGAAATCGAGATTATGATTGTTCATTCATGTTAGTTTACCATAAAACTTTCAGTTAATCATATAGTTATTGTAGAACATGATACCAAGAGTATAAAGACAACGGTAGGTCTTTAACAGATTTCAGAATCAGCACGATGGTTTAAACAAAAGTGTCTAAAATAGCGCTAGTATTGTTATTATTAAATTTGTGTGTAATGTGCATTTTGCTGACAGTAGAACCGATGGTTTCGAAAAGTACTCAGAATTGAAACTGTAGCTCTTAGTTCCGTTTCAATTAGTAAAAATACACAAAAACGAAAATGTTTCCTATGTTGTTTCTTGAAAATTGTTATTTGAAATAGGTGAATTAATGATACATTATCAATTAATTATTATTAGTATTTTGTTAACTTTCTTCATTTTAGTTCTTTCAAATTCTTCAGGCTTATCATTTTATTCGAAAAACAATTTCTTCAAAAGATAAAGAAAAAAGTCAAAGAATAACTCAGATTCCATTAAACTCATGATGATGGCGTTTTTCGTATGAGTGTAGATGTGAGTGTGCGTATGGATAAAGAGAAGAATGAAATCTACACCCACATCCTTCTGTTGAATTAACGAGCGAAAAGCTAAACAATTAGTTCTATATAAAAATTGTGAAGAATTAGTTATATCTGAATTAAGTCTTCGTACTCAATTGAAAGTTTATATTGAACGTTATTAAGATTTCCAAAATTCTATTCAACAAAATAGTCAAATAATAACATCATCTCAAACGGAAATCGAAAGAATGGGACAAAAAAAATAAAAACTCGAGAACAAGAACGAAATGATTTCGGACATCAATGGGATATTGCTGAACAAAATTAACGAAAATTGAATGAAAATGTATGAAATTTAAAAAAAAAATTCTTTCTTTCAAACAATTTTGATTTATGTGAGATGAAATTAATGGAAAAAGAAAAACGACAATTAAATAATAAACTTGATAGATTATGTTGGACTTCACAACAAGAATGATCAGAGCTACAAGCAAGAATTAAAAATCTAACAAAATCTTCACTAAATGATTCTTCAATCGCTTTAATGAAAAATGGTGTAGCAGGTTCTGCTATAGGTATCTATTTTTTACTTTTTTAAATATGTAATTAAATTTCGTTTAGTTGTATAAACTTCCGAAAAAGATAAAACTATTACTTCAGATGTTCTAATGTCTTCCAAAATGCCAACTAATGCACAGGATTCATTAAAAAATGATGCAGTATTATTATCAACAATATCTGATACTAATGAATATATTAATCTATATGGTTTATATTTTCTATTGTTTTCTTTTGTGAAGGATTTTATGAATTTATTTTAAATACTGAAATGGATGGTATTGACAAAACAATGGATTAGTTTTGTCTTTTGTATTGAATTGCTCATAATTCCAGTATTACTTCTGCTGTTTTTTTCTATTCAGTTTAGTGCTATGTTTGTTTACTATTTGTAAAAACTCGTTTTTTTTAAAATTTTGGCGTAGTTGTGATACATTTTCACATTCGACTCTAAGTATATAATAAACAACAGCAGATAAAAACAAATGAGCATAACTAATTATAGAAATTATGTATCCAAATAGAAGCTACACTATTTTCAGTTAATAAACAATAGTATTGATAATAAGAAAAGCACATGAATCGATTTGATTATGTGTAATGACATATGTGCAAGAACAACCATGATCATGAAGAAATTTTACAATTAAATGTTCTGTTATTTTAAACAAATCATCTTATAAATCACATTTCTCAAATCAAATTCAAAAGCGAAGATAAATAATCATATTCATCAATCGAATCGATGAAAAACATGTATTTAAGCATGAGTTTCTGAGAAAATCAAGCACTTTAGTACATCGACAATAGAGTGATATCTCAAAATTTTCTCAACTTTTTTAATATGTTGTAGATGGTGATGAATTTAGTAATTTTAGAAATTTTCAGCTTGATCTGATGAGTTTTTCCATGGCCATTTTTTAAATATACTAATGAAGCGTTTAATGATAATTATTTTCGAATTTTTAATTAATTTTTGTAAATTTTCTTTGAAAAACATGACTTTTGTCTTTTGAAATAAGAAATTTTTGACTTCATGGCCTTTTATTCATGAGGATTAGTATCTTTTACTACTACGTACGAAACTTCAGAAATTTTTTTTAATGAAATATAAAATAAATTGATACTCCTAACAGAGACTTACTTTATCCTTTTTTGACATTTTGTCAGCAATTCATTACATACTGTGTAACTCGTTAATTTCTTTTAGCGAGAGAAAACAACTCTTCATTTTAATACTGAGCAACGGTGTTCATCAAAGATATGTCATTGAAAAAACTACTTTTTCAATATGAGATCATTGAAAGTTAAATTAATATATTTCAAGATTCTGAAGTAGTATTTAAACAAAAATCAATTTCCAGTGAAGAGAAAAAAAATTCGTCGTAATTTGTCTGACATCAGTTTCAAAAATTATCAAAGAATTTTTTAATGATATGGTATTATTATGAACAAGTATAATTCTATTGTTATTGATTTTGCATGATGATAATCCAAATCCATCTATGGATTTTAAATGGTATTCTTGAAGAAAGATTGGTGCGAGCAAGTCAGATAAAAACTAATTTAAAAAAGCTAAGCCTTTATGCGCATAGAAAAACTATATGTCTGTAGAACAATTAGTTGTGATCGTTATTGATTCTTGTACAATTCGTTACGAAGTTAGACTTTTCAAAATTATGAAACTGTTAGACATAACTGAAGCAGAAAGCAATATACAAGTTGATCTTTTTTAATTTTAATGTCTTACAAAAGTAAATTCCAATGCACCATGAATAAAACTTTGGAATCCATTGTATGTATATAAATCATTAATACTTTACTGCGTCATATATTGGATATCAATATTTGTACAAAGAAAAACAAATATAAAAGAGTTTCTTATTTTTACTTTCTTGAGAAGCTTATTAGGCACTCTTTCTTTAATTGTTCAATGCCATTCATGATGACTTGCCGATGGGTTGAACGTTTTATGCCGTATTCTGTCAGCTTTTTATCGTCAACTTGATTCAAAAGCCAATATCCATCAACGTCGTACTTCTGAAAGTATTTCGCATATTTTCCATACTCCGTGCCCAAAGTTTCGATCCACTGACAGACATCTTGGCAAGACTTATACTTTTCGTGATAATAAATCTCTATGAAAGATAGACAATAATGTAAAAAATTTCAAGCTTACTACTCAGAAAAGCAATTTAAAACCATGTCATGCAAGATCTTCCCTTCAAATGCTCATTCGATATTGTTAGTAAAAAATTTAGAGCTCTTATGTTTAGGTGGTGACGTCAGATCATCGCGTTGTGGTGGTTTGGGGTTAGGCGATGTGGATCTCACAGGTAAATTCGGATGGAGAAAATTATTTTGTTGTGGTCTATAATCTACGCTAAGGATATTCAATTGTTCAAACTTTAAAGATGAATCTGGTTCTGCAACCACCTAGTCGCGTTGCTTTCGATTGATTGGTTGAAAAAATAAAATGAAAACATATCAAATCATTTATACTTAATGTGACTGATGGCATTTTATTTGAAACGTTGTTGGCAACCTTCGTTGGTCTCATCATCGTTGGTGTTGATGGAGAAAAAGTACTTGATTTATGAACGATCGAAGAAAATTCCAATTCATTCGATCCAGACAATGGTGATTTAACAAGACTAATTGGTGGCGTAATTTCTTTTAATTGAATAATATGAAGATCAGGTGCGGGATTCAATTGACCCATGACTTCGAAATATGAACCTGGTATAAGAATAATTTCTTTCTCGGTATTTTTGAAGTATGAATGTTTTGTAATAGATTTTCCATTACTACATTCAATGGAAAACAAAGTACGTTTTCCATGGTTACCCAAAAATTGATCTGATTTAAGTACTTCGATATCAACAGTACAAGAATTTACTCCCCACCAAGCAAATTTTGTACCCTTTTTGTATTTTGAACTTAAATCAACATCTCGAATACCCCGCCATACTATTCCACTTTGTGATTTAAGTTTGTATAGAGCAGTAAGAAATAATTTAAGAAATGAAAACCACGGTTTCAATGCTTCACGATTTTCAGCACGTAATGATTGATTCAGTAATAGATGTAAACTTGGTCCACCACTAAATTGCATTGTATAAAGATGAATAGAAGCTGATTCTTGTTGAGTTAGCCCATCATCTGGATTTTGACAATTATGCAATGCAACAAAGACATAGTCTTCAATTTCATTAAACAACCCAGAAACAGGTGCAATAGCTTCACGAAGTGAAACAAGTGGTTTATCTTGATAGCCTTTTATTGGTAATAAAAGATGATCTACAGGTTCATTGTAAAGATCAGTGAAGCGAGATTCGCGACCGAATTGTATTCCTATAGCCATCTGATATATTTTAATTTACAACAAAGAAATAATAAAGGTCAAATATCTAGAAAAACAGATAATTGTACTAATGTTGTTTTATTTTCATGTTAAATAACATAAAAATATGATGATGAGCTAGCTAAAAATCAAACATAGAACTTGATGTTTTAGTCTGATATATTCTCTTATGAAAATGCTTATCACAGAATTTGGCGGACGAAAAATAATATTTCAATAGAACGATGACACATGCGGCCATAGTTTTGATCTCAAATGGAAACATGATTGACAAATGTCAACGATTCTCTATCGTATAATTATCAAAAACCATATTCAAATAATATCCCTAAAGCATGTTCTGATCTGCTACAAAAACAAGTTTATTCAAATCCCTCCTTCGTCCATATTCAGAAAAGAATCTTCAAAATACGATATGCTATGGAGCTGAAATTTCGCGCACATAACAGAGGTATTCGAGGACTGAGACATAATTATTCCTTCTCAGTTCGTCTCCAGTTCCATGATTGCTAAAATGAAAAAAAATACAATGTCTACTATAGGTTTTGCTCTCATACTCATATTCACCAAGGAACTTGTGAATATGAACTTATGAACATAAAAATCTTTCAGAAAAAGCATCACTTTAGCTTTCATGAATCACGAAACTATGGGTCAATCTTTGTTTCTTCGAGAAATAACCATAGCACTGTTAAGATAATTCTTGTATAGCTTAATAATTTCTATTTCTCAGTTCTTGAATATTGATAAGACACTTGAGAGCTAATGATTCTCATGACATTTTTTTCAGGCTTTCTTCCTGTTTTAATCTTTCAACATATACATTTTGTCAAAATCTATTCAGAAAAGGTCCCGATAGTGGCTAGCTCCACATGACATCTTTCAAATAAAAAGAAGAATTTAAGCTCATCTCCTAATATGATAGAATGTCCTTGGAGACATGTCGTCAGATTAATGATTCGAGAAAATCTCAAACAAGTTTTTGAACTACTTTCTGCGCAATAATAAAATGTAAAATGATATCAGCACAGGCATATACTGTATTAACGAACAGTAAGCATAAAACTTGATCATATGGTGTTTAAAGTAGCACATAACAGTAAATCTATCACCATCTATTTTGTTACATACGTGTAATTAGTTTTTAAAATTTATGAATATAGAATAAAACGTTCGGCTGAATGTTTCGGATGAAGACTGAGACGACACAAATCACTGGTTAACAGTCTTCTTAGAAGTTGATAGGCACAAACAGATCTTTCTTTCCTTAGCCAAATTAATTTTGAAGGTGTAGATGTGGGTTTGACTGTGAGTAAGAAGCAGACGAACATCTACACCCACACTCTTGACATTTTTGCGGAGAGGCATTTCTATGCGAGATAATACCAAGTTGATGTTTACGTATAAAACTTTTTTAAAGAGGATGACATCGGAGGAACACACAGGGCACATATCCTGAACAGGAATGGAAACAGAATACCTAATGGGCTCTTATAGATTCTTATAGGTCTGAATCTACCTTAGTAGATTTTGCATATTTACTACATCAACATATATCTTGACAGATAAATCTTTTCTATCAAAAAAATAAAGAAATTTTAAATTATTCTGAATTATTCTGCAATTCATCTCCCTCACGAACTTCATATTGTTGGATGAATTAAACTCACTAGTATGAATAACAGTAAAGCTTTCTGTTCCTATCTTATTTAATCCAAGAATATGAATTGAAAAGGTGATCAAGATCATGGGAATTTAAAAAAACTCACAAAGCTTGAAAGAATTATTAACACAATAAGAAGAAAATACAGAATATTGGCGTTACACGAAAATATCAGACAATCTCAAAGTTATCGTGACCATTTTCACAGAAAAATGCCAGACTAAAAGCAACAGGTTTATCCTCTACGATTTGTTGTGCTGTATGGTAAGAAGTATTTCAAGTTAACTTTAAGACAGTTCTGGAAGATGTGAAACCTTTTACTTTTATTATCACTTACATCAAAATTTTACTATTATTATGCTAATACTTCAATGCTCATCTCTTGATTAACTAACCATCATGCATAGTATTGACCAAAGAGGAAGCAAACTGATTATGTAATATATAGACATTGTCAATGAATTGAGACTAATTAGAATAATAAATAAAAGCAAAATAGAGACAACGAAATGAATCAAGGAGACTGATCACTAACAAACATTTATCAATCGATCATCCAAAATAAAAGATAATCATTCTGATCGATTTCATATCTGTCTGAATTATGTTTAATATGCACATGCAGATCATATTGGTATTATATATGTATTATCTGATAGACTTGTTTGTATTTTTGACTTTATTGTAATAAGTTACTCACCACGACGAAATGAACAAAAAAAATTCAATTTATGGAGAAAATTTTATATTGAAAATGCTGTTGATAAAGGTTGATGTTGTGTATGTAACACTGTGTGCTTGTTTTGTCGAATGATTCTTCCTTTTTTACCTTTGCAGCGCGGCAACTTTATTTCTTTCTCATCATTCGTTATTTTGTTTAATTTTCTTTTTTTTTTTTTAATTATTTTTTCTTACTACATACTCTATTACGAAAAGGTTTACAGAAGATGCGTACTGAATGTTGTATACCACGATACATGTGCACAAAAAAGATATGCTTCAGTGATCTGCACATAGTAAATTTTGCGCACGTCATAAAAAAATGTATCTGAACAGACACATCGAAAAGCAAAAGAAAATAGAAAAAAAAAATTGTTTTTTGTCTGAAACCCGTGATATCTTATATTAACATAATAAACAAAAAAGCCTCTAAAAAACAATTCGATAATTATTCTTATATGCAGTTGATATCGAGGTATTACAATCTTGCATGCTCATCTTTATATACTTCGAACTTTTTGCTCTTGAAATATATTTAATTTGATCATGTCAGAGCATCAAAATTATCGAATGTTAAGTAACAACAGTATATAATTTAGTTATTATACAATAAATAAATCCTTACTTATAAATTAACACTTTAATGGACTAAAGCCAATCTCTTTGCACAAAGTGGAGTGTTAGTGTTATAGTCGGTTATTCTATCTTCCACCTTCATACCACACTCGCACTCACATATACAGTCCACATCCATACCAACATCCTTGTTATTCAAGTTGTTACATAGGTTGTATTACTGTTCATCTATTGCATTTGTAAAAAGTTCTTCTAATGCAAAGCGGAATAAAACACATATAACTATTGTTGGGACCAGTATGAAAAGAAATCTTTCTGAATAAAAACACACTTGTACAGTTATTTTACTCATTAACAAAGCAAGATGCTGTATGAAACTAATGATGGAGATATGCTCAACCAAATCTTTCATCTTGATGAATTCCCAGCAAAACCAAATAACACATTTTTTTGTAACGCATCCTTTTAAGTTTTATGTTGTTGATAAGAATAATGTGTTAACCATCTGTATTTTTCTTTGATTAATTAACGTAGGATGTCTTAGATCAGGATTCCACACTGGGGAGAGGGGGGGAGCGCGAAATCTTGAACTTAAAACTTACACTCACTATTTTCTTCGAAAATATACGTGAGTTCTACAAAAATAACAAAAGAAATGATTATTATAGATTATTCATGATTCTTATGTAAGAGGATCGATTGCTAAGTAACAATAAATAATAAAAAATTTTAATTAATTTGATATTTAAATCATTTACCATAAGTTACTAACTAACATTTGATTAGATCGGATAAAGATGAAAATTCTTTTTTTTTTTTACTTTTATTTCAGGAAAACATTTTGTTTTTTGTTTTAAAATCAATAATCATTTCACTGAATAATGAATACGAATATATTTAACGTATGGTTGATTCATTGACTTGAGTTCTTCTTTTTTTGTCAATACTTATTTGTATTATTTAAAATAAACATTTATTTTATGAACGACTGCACGCACACCATGAGCGGTTCTGCTTAATCAGAAATCTTTAATGTTCGCTTCCATATTCAAGCACTTCATGACTTATTAAAATTTACTTTTATGTTTAAAAACAGCATTCTCTACAAGAAGGAACAGCTTCATGCAAATCCAAGAACCTCGTTGAGCATCTCTATGGTGGTTGGTCATAGGTCATATGAAATCACTGTTGTAAAAAATAATAATAAACATGAATATTTATCAAATCCATAAATAAATTCTAACCGATAAACATAGGCAAAGCTCGTATAGCTAATTGTAACAAGTAGAATTACGTGTTTTAGTAACGAACCACAAAAAAAATTTATCAAATCATATAACATTGAATAGATGAAATTTGACTTTTTATTTACTTCTCTAATCGAAAAATCTCTCTCTAACAGATTCTTCGATTGCTTGCTCGCGCAATACTCTCATAGTCAACTACTAAAGAAACAGAAATAATTTTGATTGTTTTGCCAAAGATTGAAGTATATTGTATTAGATATACATTAAATTCAAACTTAATTTTAAACTGTTTTTGAATTTGATAGACGTCTATAGAGAATATGCAAAGCAGAAGACCTTATGCATTCTTCTTCCATATTCTAACAATATAAGTATTAATTTCTTTAATTTTCATAGATCAATGATACAAGAGATCATAAACAATGAATATTGATAGATTTTTTAATTTTTGCTACTATTTTATATTCTTCACAATTAAATGAAAATAAATCAAATAGATAAGAATCAAAAAATACGAATCTAAACTTAAATTTTAAAATATACAAAATTCTTTTGTCATTGTTATTAATATTATTTTATGTCCTACTACGAATATTGTTTACTTCTGTTTCTGAGTTATTTTGTATGTAAAAAAGAATGACGGATTTGATTCATTTTCTTCAGTGGTCAGAAGAAAAATGCGCCATGAAATAAACATGCATTTGACATCACCTATTGACATTATTGATACAGAAAGGAAGAAAAAAGAAAGAAAGATTTTTTTTATGCATTACTCTATTACATTTGTCATTACTCCGTGCACATTGAGAGAATTGAAGAAACGTAGACATAGACGTAACATAGATTTAAAGATGTAGAAGTAAATATAGTAAAAAAGTTTCCCGCATAAAAAAGTCACATTACTTAATGCCTATAAAAGCTTGCCAATGTGGAGTGAGAGCATGCTTTTCCAAACATCACTCTGTTACGATTTCATACTAATCCAATTTTTTCTTACACAAAGAATAAGGTAGGACATGAAGTCGTTATGAGAAACTGAGATTTGCTTCATCTATCGTTTATTTTTAAGACATGGATATTCATATCAAACAACTTATTAAAATAAAAAATCATATTGAACAAGCTTCGATATGTAATGAAAAAGGACTGGCTCGCTTACATTATATGATTGCAATTGAATTACTTCAAGAACTTTCAATGGATTTGAACAATTGCATATTAAAACTTGAAAGTATTGGAGAACAACCTGAAGAAGTATTACATATTTGACTCTTTTCATCGGATATAAAAACGAACATAATTTATTTTATTTTATGTAGATCTCTTAAGATTAAATATATCATTTAGAAAAAAAAAAAAATAGATGTTCTATATTAGTATTCTCTTTTGAAACATTAACATATGACATTGATGTCTCTCATCGTACTTGTAAACATGAAAAAGAACAGCTGTGTATTTGAAGAAAAGAAAAACGTGGTAAAACAGTATTTACCTTTTTTCTTTGGATATGCAGAACTTATATATTTTCTTCTTCGTATGAAGAAATTATGTATTGTGATTTGCAAATATTTTTGTAGAATAGTTATAATTATCAAGTTATAGTTTGATTTTTGTTTTATACAACGTATCTCATGCAACTATATAGATATATACGTATATTATCATGAAACTGATGGAGTGCATAAAAAAAGAGGAGAGAATGAATAATGGCAGAGTAAAATGATAATATGATGAACACATTCATGGAAAAAAGTTCAGAGTTTGCATTAATGTCATGTAAAGAACACGGAAAAAATTGCATTTTGGATAATAAAGTATATATCCAAATTAATGCATTTCAATTTTATTTTATTTGAATGAAAATCATAGTATAAGATTGATAAAAATGATTGTTTCATTAATGGAATTAAAACATATCAATTTTTTAGATTTGTTGCATCATTTTAATGTAGATTTTTTTAAAGTCCATAGGCACTCGTACATATATAAAGAGAAAACATCGAAAACTATACATATATATTTCTTATCATCAAGTTTAATTTTATAATTTAGTTAATTTCAACTAATGTATAGATTTTTTTTTTATTAAATACATACATTCGAATTTTTAAGCAAGTTTTTACATTATTTTTCTAAGTTTAGAACGGAAAAATATTGCGTCAAAGTACATCATATATATTTGATAGTGCAACAGATGAAAAGAAAGAAAAAAATATTTTGTGTTCTGTTCTCTTTCACGTCTATCATTGCATCGTACTATGTTTTATGTTAAGAATGAAAGAAATCTCAAATGAATGTGGACGTAGACGTAAGGGCAAGACGGTATCATAAAACTATTCACGTCTAGTTCAAGCATCGACCGAATGATGAAAAAGGACGATTATTAGCTTTCTTGTTTATTATTTCATAAAATTTCAATTCAATGACACTTGCCTATGTTAGTAGTCGATAACATCATTCTTGTACTTTTTCTCCTTAGGCAAATTCTTAAGTTTTTAATCTTGATGTATCCTTTTCCATGGAATCGATAACAATTTCCTAACAGTAATTTGACTTTGTCATAGTCAATACCATAGAGCTTGTCTTGCTGAGCACCAAAATATTCTATTATTATCAAAACTTAGTCGAGTAACAAAAAAAGGTATTAAAACATTGCTGATTCAGATTCTCAAGTTCTTTTTTTCATATGTAAGTAACAGTTCTTCATCCCGAAATCGTTTTGTACGTCATTGCGAAGCATTAGAATAATATCTGTCTCACTCAATTTTGTCACTCTATATGAAAGAGAAAGAATTTGCCAAAAGCTATATTGTTATCGATATCCGAATAGTCTTGTTGTACTTAGATTTGACTTTTGTAAAGTCATACGTATCAATGAAAAGTTCATTGAAAGATAAATATTCATTTTGAAAATTAACAAAAAAAATGAGGTATTAATTTATTTACATAAGACAATGGATTTAATTTGAGTATTGATTACTAGTAATGACACTGTGCAGATCCTACAACCATTTTGACAAGATATCATAAATAATACCTAATTAACTGACCAACTTGCACACTTACTATAGATTCAAGTTCTGCACATACTTCTTCACTTATTGATAAAGATTGTGACATGAAAAATAAAATCAAGATATTTTAGATGAAAAAATCCACAAAAATCAAGTAAAGAGTTTCTTTTGAACTTATGAATTTCTTTAACATAATTTACTCTAATGCAAGATTTTTTTTTTCTTGTCATCAATTTGCGATACGCAAAACTTGGATAGTAAATGGTTACGATTATAATGTTAACATTTATATAAGTCAGCGACAATAAAAACAGAAAATAAGTTCTTAGTATAATTCTTAACATGTTGCATAAAAAGATATTCAATTTAAAACAAAAATGAGTTATCTTTCTACAAGAAATAAGAATATCAATAAATAAGAAAAAGATATTTTCAACTTGAAAAAAAAAACACTTGATGAAAATTTTCATCAGTTTAAAAATATATTATCAGTGAATATTTCGAAAGAAGTCAATTATTTTTTATTATTTTCATTCTTATAAAGGTGGTGTCGAAGGTTTTATCTGTTAACAGATGATATGAAAAGAACTTATTATTGAAGAGATACTCAATCAGATACAAATATCGATCAATATGCAAAACTAGTATTAAAAAAAATGACAGTTGTCTCTTTCAAATAATAGTAAATAAATAGGGAAGAAAATTCTATAAAAATCATTTAAAGTTTTATTAAGTGACTTTCTTCAATAAAATGAAATTATTTGAATCAAAAATAATATCTTTGAAGAAGAAGATTTTTCAAAATAAAAATCACTTATTCTTTTAAAGAAAGAAAAGAAATTTAAGTACGAAGTCTTTTATTGAAATGATGAACATGATAATGATAAAATGTATATGTTGAAAATAATTGATCTGATCGTTTGTGTGTATTCACATTATAATTCACGTACTTATTGTCGTTGTCAACAATACAGCAATGTGCAAATTGTTGACACATTTTATCTCATCAAAGTTGGAATTAAGTTGCTCATCTTTGTAATAATATTCTTAAGGATAGATAAATCCTAATCGATGTTATTTGAACATTTACGTCATCGACACATTTTCTTTTTATAAGGATAAAATATCAGTACGCACACTGACACTCCACCTACAGCTTAAAGCAGCAAAGTGATTCCTTCTATATAACTCATTTGAAACATTGTTATTAACAAAAAAGAAAAAAGTGAACATGAAATATTTCATATTCTATAGAAGAGCGGCAACTGTTTATGACAGACATGAACGTCGAATTTGCTGACCATAATTATTGTTCCATTTAGCATCACCTGCATCCCACATCATTATACCTGCAACGGACAAAGACAAAACTTAATTCAATGTCATTGATTATAACAACAACAGTTACAAGTTTTACCTGCAAAATTTGCAGTTCTTTTTATTTTACGAACAATTTTTGTAACGTTTTGAGCCGACTGATATCCTCTACCAGCTAATTTCGATGCTGGTATACCTAAGAGAATTTTCATCTTTTTATTTGCTTTAGTCACAGCATTCGACCACTGACCAAAATTAAACGTTCCACCACCGAGTATTTGTATACCAAAAAAAGCTTGAATACCACAACCATTATTATAGAACTGTATGGATATGAAATCAAGATCGGCATCACTTATGGCCGTATGAGGGCCGGGTCCGAACCTAGAAGAACAAGTATTGCATCTTAAACTAGTTATTAACTACATTGACAAGAAACAGACCATTCATCGGGAAATGGACATTGTGGTGCGCCACTAAGATAATAATGTTTCGATTTATCAGCTTTCATTAATTTACGTAATTGGTTAATTAATGTCACCCAATGGCCATTTGCTTGCTTTGCTCCTTTTTCAATATCAAAATCAATACCATCTAATACAATTCCATTACCAAATGGACGTTTTTCGCCTTTCCCATTTAAAAACATGTTCCATACATGTTTAGCTACCTGTTTTGCATAATTTGTAGATGTTAATTTATACGATCCGGAAGCTCCTCCAGTTGAAAGCATTATTGTTTTACCATTATTTTGACATGATCGAATTTGTGGACCTAATCCTGAACAGTCTTGTCCATGACAACCATCAAGACTCAACTGTGGTACTCCGTTCACATTGAATGAATCAACAAAGGCCAAAATAATAACATTGTAGATATTATTCATACAATAGTCTGATAGTTTTCCTTCATTATCGGTTGAACCCCAATAAACGATAAAATTTGTTTTCTTGTTTAAATCAAATGTTTTTGCTTTTACCAGATTTGATGTTTTTTCCAATAGGTTAGCATCAGACAGCCGCACGACTGCTAACAGTACCAACAACAATGCAATGAAATTCATATTTGTAGATCTATATGAAAAAACCTTATCCTATTATACTACTAGATTCGCAAGGCCAATTTTCATCTCTAGTCAATCTTAGGAACAATCAAACGTGATGAGAAAAATCCTATAGGATATCACATATAGTTAGCAGTCCATTAAAAAATTCAAATATCTCGACTTCAGTTCAATCAAATGTGCTTATATTTTGGTTAGTGATAGAACTTCATAAAAATCATTTTTTTCATACGGATAGTTTGAGTAAATAGTTCTATTGAAGATTATCGTTGATCTCACTAAAGAAATATTATCTATTATCAAGTAAGAAAAATACATGTGAAGTGTTTCATATAAACTTTTTAGTGATCATCTCAGATAGCAGTAAAAAAACTCATAACATATTTCATGAATGATACAATATTGATGCAATTGAATAAAATTTTCAGAAGTAGTTAGTTAAAAAAATCAATGAGTAGGATATTTCGAATTTTAAAAGTATGGACAACTGTTTTTTTTTCCTAGAAAGGAGGTAATTCAGTGTAAGAGCATTTAATTGTGAATTTTAGAAGAGCGTACCACGAATAATAGCACTTAAATAAGCTAATTCTGAAAACTTCGTCCATTAATATCAATATTGTGTTATTCATAAAATTTGTTTTGATCATCTTACTGTTGTGTTAGGGATCACTAAAATTATATATGGAACACTTCACATGTATTTTTCCTACTTGATAACAAATTAAATTTCTTTAGTAAGGTCAACAATAATACATAATAGAAGTATTTAACTACACTACTCGAATGAAACAAATTTTAATTAAGTTTTACCATTAACTAAAAAATCAGTCTATTTGATTTAATCGAAATCTAGATATTTCAATTTTTTATTATATTGATAATTATGGGAAACTCTGTACGGGACTCAGAAATCCGTTCGATACTAACTACCATAAAGGTCCTGTGAACAGATTGCACAATCAAAAATCATACATTTGCATCTTGTATCCGTGCCAAATCTTCTTTGTCTACAACTAAGCAAATAGTGCAATATAACGACGTTGGTTTATAACTCATAGCTTACCTTTCTGTTACATATATCTATAAATCACGTTAAGCTGTATTTTGTGCATTCATTCATCCGTACACATCAATAACATGGCTATTACCTGTTCGCGAGCGATGGTATTTGTCTTTTAAAGAGAAAAATACATTGTTTTGCGTATTCTTTCTCACATCAATAAATAACCTTCATTCACAATAATACCCCATCAATCCAATTGTTGAAAAAATGTGCGTTATATCACAACATCACTAGGTTTTTTTCATAATTACTGCACACCGTACAAAAATATCGACGCTTCGTTAGCAATGGTTGTGCTCCTAGATAACATGATCCTGTTGGAAATAAAAATCAAACGAGCCATCCACAAGTTAGTCACGATATTCACTGTTGATGGTAGCTTCGCTTCGCGTCCAGATATAAGTGTGAGATCCAGTGTTTCGCTCTCTATATAACTGCAGAACAAAACTTCTGTTCCAATCCAAGAACATCATTAGTCCTCTTAACAGTCCCGATGTGAGTATCAAGCGGACCACAGACTCTCTTTCAACTCTAGAGTCATTATCGCTTCTCGTGATGGTCTCGATGTCGTCATCAATGTGGGACACGAATTCTGTCCCGACCTAGAGGGTAATAAACTGATGCATATGAAAAAAAGAGAATACACTGATTGACAATTGTTATATTGCTGATAAATCCAAACAAGTTGAAGATTCAATGAATTCTAATTCTAATCAGAGAAATAACATTAATATTTATTCATTTAGAGAAATATCCAATGAATTTTAAAATATTGAATTATAAATATTAAATTATATATTTAAGATTTTTGTCAATGAAAATTCAAGGCTTATGTTTCATTGTCGATTTCTTGATCACACTCTTATTTAAAAGAAAATTAGGTAAGAGTAATTTGATCTTGCACAATTAACAAATTTTTAGTCTAATACGATAAAATCAATATCATCTCAACGTTTCTGAAAACTAAAGAGGTATTCAAATATTTCACTCAATTTAATTATTCTTATCACAAGTGAAAAATTTATACTGAGAAAATTATTTTGATTGCAATTATGATCGTAGATTTTTGTAGCGTAAGGATGAGAGTTCAACTACATCCTTTTATGCACATGTTTTTGGTTATTTTTGTTTACCAACAAAAATGAATTGATGGTACTTAAAGCATAATTTATTAGAATCTAAATAGTTTAACATTAATAGAAACGAAGTATATAGAATAGTTTAGAGTACGTTTATTCTAGCTAGATTATGAAGACAAACACATTACTAACATTACAGAAATATACATTGATTTTCAAGTAGACATTTATAAGCAACATGAACTATACAAGACAACTAATTTGCATTCGTCTTAAAACATAGTTTGAAGACGTTGTTTTATAATACTAATATATCTCTTGAATACGTTTAAACATTCAGCGCGAAATGTTTTTGATGCTAATGTATATAGAAAAAATGTATTCTAGAAAAAAAAAATATGATAAAATATTGAAAGTTCTTTTATGTAAAAGCAACAAAACATACCGCTGCATATGTGAAAAGAAGATTATTACCCAAACCACTGAAAAAGAGTAACAAACTTCTATCATCAGCTGTAAGATTACCACGTGAATTCATTAAAAATGAATACAGTGGAAAAATTCCTCGAATAGTATTAAGTATTAAAAAAGCAACCACTTGAAGTATGGATAATCGAATAAGTTGACCATCACGTCTAGATTGCTGGGGCTGTTGAATAGTAACATTTGTTGACTTTGTCATAGGAGTGGCACCTGAACCAGTTGTAATTGGTTGAGGTTGAATTCTATTTCTCATTCGTAAACGTAGATTGCCTACAGTCAGTACAGTAAATAGACTCATGATGAACATTGGTACCATTGATGCGGTAATATTATACATTGAATAGAAAAGTTCATAAGTAGTACCTAATGGTGGTGAACAACCTAGACGACCAATGCTATATTTGATTGGTACATGAATATTAAATAGAGACCAAAAGATAAAACTGCCAATAATTACTCGTCGAGTTATATGAGGTGAACTCCGATTACGAGTCTCTAAACGTGATGAAGTAATCAGCCATCGATCAATTGCAATTAAACAAAGAAAATATCGTGCTAACGCCAAACTTACATCTGTTGCATATGCACGAAACTTACAAAAAGCAAAAGATCGACCTGATAAATCGAAGCCAGTTAAAGCAGATATAATTCTTGGTAGACAAGAGAATGTAAGCAAGAATAAATGAGCCACTGCTAAACAAATAAAATACCATGAACACATATTTTTTCGTAGTGTACGTCTTCTAAATATGATTATATTAATGAAGTTGCCAATAATACCGAATCCAAAAATAAATGGAAGTTCGTAACGAAAAAGTTGCAATTGAAATAGTTCAAGTTGCTTGGCAAGCGATGACATCTGTACTTGTTTGCTTTAATGCTATATGAAGTCTCTGTTCTATATCTTTCAAAGGACATTTATATTTGTTATATAATCTTTAGGCACTTTATTTAGAATGTTTTTTCGCTTTTTCATGTGAAAAAAAAACAGTAGCAAATTTTTAATATTTAGCCAAAAAGTTATTCATTTAATAATAACCTAAAGCTTTTCTACGTCATTCCTTACAAATTATTATGGGCTACATTTTGATTAACCGTTTAATATGGGGGTGTAATAAATACGGACTACTTTTTTTATTTTTCATCACAGAACTGCAATAATCGGAATAAATTTCTGTCTATTCAATTTCAAAGGACAGTGTTTATCTATCTCTGTAATAGGAAATTTCGATTAAGAAAAAAAGAGACTTGATAGACATTTAACAAACTAAAAGATTGAGTAAACACTTCGTTTTGAACTTGAGTTATACTTGTACTCAACAGTGGCTTTACTGTTTCTTTTGTACAGTGTGTGGTTATTGTACCATTTATCTGACTTTATCAAAACTTCTAGATAAATTATTCTCATGCAAGTCGTTATAAATGAAGATATCACACGTGCAGTACTTGAATATTTGTGGCTCGACTTTCGCGCATGATAATCTTGGTCATGGTCATTTAGCTAACTGTATCATTGACATCGACAGAACTTGTCCGTACGAAATCCACTCCTTACAGAGTTAAAAACATTTTTGAAAAAATTATTTATTAACCTGCAACAACTTATGAGAAACAGAATAAATAATTTAATGGAACAGTGAATAATTATTGTTTCAAAAAAACCATGAGATCAAACATTGAAGTTGGATAATTAGTGTATTTTAATGAACGGCATTTGTTCTTTCAAACGGAATCTCGCAACTTTTGATTTAATATTCTATCCAAATGCTACAGCAGCTCTAGTTTTTAGAATTAATTTGTGTAATGACTTGCAGGCACTTTTTCTATATTTTCATATCCAATTATGTACGGGCTATAACTCATGCACGAAATATTGCGCTGTCAGTTGTAAGATCTTGTTTAAAAGAACAACTATTGTTCTTCAAAATGTGTTTATTGTCCAACTTAAACGTTTCATCTTCTAACCTACATGTAAAAAGTCTTGGTACACAAGTTTTGTTCGATTTTCGACCACTTGACGGTCGCAAGAGAGACTCAAAAGTAGTCAGCTAGAAAGAGAATTTCATGTTCTTTCTAAATATATATTCAGAATTTTATTCTGACTTGAACTTGATTCATTAGGAGCAGATATTTAATGTGGATCAGAAACGACGTTTGTACAAAATATTCCATGCAGGCCATTTTTGTATTTTGGTTAAAAGTGCTTCAGTTTAAATGAAACGAAAGAGATTTTATACACCAATTTGCAGAATGAAGCTTGTTCTACAAAATGCTCAATTTACTTTGTTTCTAACATATCATTGCAAATCATCAGCTTTTCTTGAACGTCAAACAGCGCAATACGGAATAAACGATTATTTTGAAAAATGTCATTCCATGGAAAGAGTAGCATTCCGAAAAATATTTGTAACTTTTCATCCTTTTGAGTTTTTAGTTTATTGTAACTCATAGTTTTGTAGAATATGTAAGTCTCTTCAACAATAGCCAAATGAGATTTTTATTGATTCAGGTATTTGCTTACAGCTGACTAGCTAAGGATGAGAGAAAAATTCTAAAGATATATTTAGAAAGAGCATGAAATTCTCTTTCTAACTGACTACTTTTGCGTCTGTTCTGCGACCTTCAAGTGATCGAAAATAGAACAAAACTTTTGTATCAAGACTTTTTAACGTAGGTTAGTTAAAATTTTTCGATGTATGAATGAGTATGTCTACTAAAAACTAAAAATACTATATAAACGATTGCAAGTTGAAAATTAAAGCAACATTTCTGAATAAGTTTTGATTATTAATAATCGATATGCAACTAATCTTGTTTTGTGACGCAATCTGAAAGCAATGTTGAAGAATATTGGGTAGAGATGCGGGTCCATTCACCGCTACTCTCTACCTTTCAAGATCATCAAAAACTGTATATCAATAACGTCTTGTTCTACTATTTGAACTACTTTTTTATTGCATATCCGTAGGACTAAACAAAAGGATGATGAAGAAATATGTTCAATACCAAATATAATAAGCAATGTTCTATGATTAACATCAGCAACTACATTGTCTTTCACATTTTAATCCCGCAGGGATTGTATTAAGTTTTAATATTAATATTAATGAATCTTTAAAAGTGCTTTTAATCAAAATATAGCCTGTGAAGTTCTGCAATGAAGGATATAGAAAAGCTTCAGGTGATTGCTGATTAAAGGTAAATTTTATTATATATTTAAAATGTGTTACTCTTTTGTCTGCAGGAGAAAAATTCTTTGTAGGATGAGAAAAAAAAGAATCGAATTCGAAAATCTTTTATCATCTCACAGTTTTTAGGCTTCTTTGATTGATTTACAAATCACTATTTGAATATTTTTACTGATATTACTCTTGATGAAGAATCAAACAAAAGGTTATGTTCTAATCTATATCACTGTTTTTATATGCCCTTAATTATTCGATGCCCTATTGGAACAAAAAGAAAATGATTCTATGTCGAAACTCTCGGAGCAGGATGTGAGTGTGGGTGTGTGTATGAAGTAGGAAAAGAGTTAAAATATACTCACATCCACCCTAAACAAAAATTCAAGGGATAACAGGTTAATTCGATTAATGCACAGTTATCCCAGCTGTGGATGTGAGTGTTAGTCTGTAAGTATGGGACTTCTGTTCACTCACACCCTTATCCCGCAATTTCAGATAATGAGTTTCACATTTTTTTGTAAATGAAAAATGGTAAATAATCTATTAAAATGGAAGATTTTTTTTAATTAGAAAGGTATCACGGTTTTGTTTTTTTATTCATATCGCTTTATTCTAGATAATAATCCAATGCATCGTTTGATAAGAATGACAGTTTTTTTTTTTGGAATTTCCATATTACATTCTTGCAAAGCAAATTTACTTATTACTTGTGAAATATTTACAGCTGACATAAAACACTTCATTCCTGAAAAAAAAATATTTTCACATAGGCAAAAGTATGATTCGATTCGGAGTTTTGATTCTTGTTCTCTTTATTTCATGCAATGTTTCTTTACCAAGTTGCAATATATCTTATTGGGTCAACTTGGATCCCATTAATTGTACAACATCACCAAATGGAACGTATTCTACATTAAATTATAGTGGAAATTGTACTTTATCTCCAGATTATCCAAAGAAAACTGCATATAAACTTGTAATTGATCAAAAAACAAAAACAGTACAAACATTTACAGTTTATAATGATAAATCTTGTCGAAAAGGTGATGAAATATTGACTACAAAAACTCCATTGTCATTGAATACATGTGGGCCATTACTTTTTATGACTACTTCAACAAGTTCTGTTCAAATAGGTAGTTTAGTTTTTAATTGTAAACAATAATTTGAACGATTTTTAAAATAATGAATAAAAAATGTAATAAGACTTACTCAATGTTCTTTTGTTTTATGTATAAAGAAAGCACATTCCTATTTAATTCACAACCATATTTTATATTCAATTGAAGATATTTTTATACAGAAATAATCTCTGAAATTTACTTATTCAAGTCATGTGACAAGCCTGGAAATGTGCAGAACTAAGTTTTTTTTTGGCCCCAATCTTAAGAAAACCTGTTACAGAATTTATTCGAATCAAATCTAAAATAAAGACTTCAATTCTTATTTAGTCTATAACTAGCATTTTTTTTCAGTCATCTCTCATGAATTATTCTGATTGCTACGATTTATAAAGATCTCACGAAAACATCAAATTTTAGTCCCGTTGATCAGAACTAAAGTTGTTCTCGCACATTTCTATAGACGCATCAATTTCTGTAGGACTTGGTACTCTACGATAACAACGCATTGAAGCACCTATGTGTGACAATATCGATATATCTCTAATCTCTGATGATTATCGTTACTGTTGTATCTGTCATCCTATCTTTCGTTTTGATGGTTTCGTTTATAAACGTGTGTTCCAGGTGTGAATGATTTAAGAAAGTCGAAGAAAGCGTAATTGAATTCGCATTTAGTATTCTTATATCAATAGGGTGTGTAGAATGTGTGGGTGTTATATAAGAGAAAATTTACGCCAGCACGTACACCCACATCCACAAATCGAAATATAAATGATTCTCAAAAAGCACAAAATATATTCATTCTTAAAATGAAAAAAAAAAGTATAGAAAAATAACAGATTTCGATTATACTTGCAATAACTAAGTTATTGAAACTAGTTCATAGACGATGTTATCTAACGAGGAAACATTCTCGAGTGCTGAAGAGCTTTTGAGCTGAAATATTGTTTACACATAGGAAATATATAGACTAGAGAAAGCCTAAGAAGATATAAAAGTTTTAGAATTTTTCGGAACCAATCATTTCCAATACATCAGTATGTTGGCACAAAGTCGTTTTTTTAATACATAATATTATGCATGGATATTTTGCAAAATTCATATCTCGACGATGATTTGTTCAAAAATTCTCAAACTTTGATTTCACTGCAAAAATGAGGTTCTGCAAGAAAATTATAGTGAAATGTAGGTATCTCAACCATATTGCAACTTGCGCTCTTATTCTCCTAGACTTTCTCTAGTCTATAGATCTTCTATTTGTAAACAAACTTTCAGCACAATATATAAATCTGTTGAGAGAACAGAGAATTCTGAGTCATATATGAATGTCAGAATTTTATAGTATAATAATGGTGATTTGAAGACAATTCTATTCCCATGATAAGAGCAATGTGTTGATGATTGCGAGCTCTATTCGTAGTTGGTGTTATGGATGTTAAACTAGAGTTAGACGGTATTAATGATGTTGAAGTGAAGCTAGAAGGAATTTCGGGCATTGTTATTGTGTCGTTCAGTAAGAACTGTGGGTCCAAATATTCATTATCAATTTTCAAAATTTTATGGATCCAAGAATAATAGTATGATAATCGAGTATAAATACTTGAATCATCATAGTGTGCACAACCGTTTCCGTATGAGAATATACCAAGCTGTTTCCAAAATCGTCCTGTCTATTGGAAAATTGGTCCATCTGAATCAACTAAAGAAAATATTTCGTTATTTTAATTTTAAAATATCAAATTTATTTTAAAATATACCTTAACAAGAATCTGAGATATAAGAAAAAGCATATGATTGAGTATGTCTGTGTGCAAAATATTCAAAAACTCTTCTAACTCATTAAGATATTTTCTACCAAATCATGTTCAAAATAAAATTTTGTCTAATATATATACAGTGTTTTATTATAAAATTCATATTCAAAGTAAATTCTGTCGATTCTGTCATGTTCAAACTTTCGAACATAATCTCTAAATCAGTAACCTTTGCCATTTTTCAACGATCCAGCACAAAACTGTACTTCTGTGTTTCTAATTGAACCTAAGCACGTCGAATCTTGATTGTCATTAGTGAAAACTTCTTTTTGTTGAAGCATTTCAGATGTATAAAAGGATCCATTTCGATTTGTATGTATGACTTCGCTAATAGTGGATTGCTTTCGAATGGATAAGACTCATTGATATGTAATACCAGCAATATCATGAAGATAACCAGTTGATGCACCTATATAATTTGGATGAATGTAAATTCGATCGACAGTGCGTAGAACTTGCTCAGAATCTGAACGATTTGTTATGTCAGCTGAAACAGTAATACTCCGTGATGATTTAGATGTATATCTAAAGATATAATGAGCAGCAGTACGAATGTAAAATTTCGATATAATTGTTCTTTCATACCAATGATCATCACCGTATAAACGTAGAGAAACAATCATCGATCAACTCTGATCGATGGCATCTTCAACATACAGAATGTTCGATTGAGTAAGTTTCACATTTCGATATCCACATCCACATGGCCATATCTGCTTGTCACATTCATAAGTAGTTAAATATGTTGCTGCTGTAGGTCTAAGTGTTATATTTATTGTTGTTAACATTGTCATATCAGGTTGACTTCTATTACCAATGTATGATTCAATCCAATCACGATAATATGCAAGTCTAATATAAGCTTCAGAAGGTGACAATTCACAGCCACCTCTATTAAAAGATGCTATATCGACTTGTTCCCAATGGTTTTCTATCCATTGAAGTATTGGTCCACCAAAATCATCTAATTATGAAAGCATTAGTTCAAAAAAGAGAAGAATGTGCTAATTAAAAATTTACTGACCAAAACACACGCCTAGAATAAGAGAAATATGATTTAATCATAAAAAAATTTTACATTTTACAAACACTATTTCCTTATCTGTAACTTGGTCATGTCATCCTGCGCACAAGTGTACAATAGGATCATTAATTAAATCGTAACATTCTATGTCATTATGATCCAGTGTATTAAACAATTAATTATTGCAAAGTATCAGATTCATCAGCACTATACATAGTACGACCCCATTCAATCACTACTAAAGTGCTACCATTTGCTGGATATTCTAATAGTTCTTCGAAGGTGTTTAATTATGGAGGAAGATACGTTCGATTAATAAAAGGACTCATTTCGAAATCAAGCGATTCAACTAAATGAATTAAAGCAATATCATTTTTTGTGTCCATCCCATGAACTTGTCCAATTTGGATGCATGATAATTTGATCAAGCTGCCGTTCTATTTGATATTCTTCAGATCGCCTATGAATGCCAGCACTGATGAGAAGGTTATCAAATGATATATTAGAATCGAAGCTTCCGAAATAACTAGCTGTTGTAAGAATGTATGAATAAGCAAGAATAGTTCCACCACAAACAAAATTTAGTGACTCGTTATCAAACACACGAGTATATGTGAGCGCTACCATCATCAACCAACTACATGGTAATTGCCTCTTCACCAAAAATAATACGTGCACTAATATCAACATTTGCGTGACTGCAATCGTATCCAAATGACTTATCACAATTATAAATCGTTGTGTCACATAAGATATAAATCAATAATAATATCATAAAACTTTCTCAACAAAATACTACCGTATTTTCAAAAATATATTTTATAGTAAAAAGAAAAATTATAATAGAAAGAATTTATGCACAAGCAAACACATACATGTATACATGATTATTTCAATGGTAAATATTTACGTTATCTTCATTTTCGTATGTGATTGACGGCTGTTTTTATACATAAATAATATTGAGTGAGAGATGTGTCTGTCATCTGCGAAAAAAGTGAATGTGTGCAAGCATCTCTATTTGGTGAATGAGTAAGTAAGAATAACAAAGGAAAAAGATGAAAATTGATCTACATAAGAAGCTTTTTTTGCTTGAATCATGAAGCAAATATGTATTAACGATGCATCGTATAGCACAGACATGTGAAGCATGATTTTTCGTTCACACCATCGCCTCAGCTCTCGAATTTGCTAATTCCCGTAATTGGATGTAGGTAGCCGTGGATTTGGATTGGCGTATGGTTACATAGAAGACTACTCATGCCATTTTGAAGGTAGCGCAAAATATTCATTTATTTTTCGATCAAATATTCTTCTCGGAACAGCGCGACAGGCTTTATACCTGTTATATGTTTAAAAGTAGTTTTTTTCTAGCAGAAATTGTTGATTTCTACATAAACCACCTTTTTTGGTGGGCACATATAGACAAAGTTTCATTTATCACAATATTTCATTTTGCACATGTTTCAGTACTCTACAATAATGTTGAATTGAAACTATTCCAACACACAAACTAGGGAATAATGCAAAAACAGTACTTTACTCTACACAGACGTAGTTTCCAACTTTTTCATAAAATTTACAGATACTTACAAGCATACTAAAAGTAAAGATTTTAGCAAATAAAATTCAATAGAAAAGAGTTAATCTAGTATTTGAGTTAGTAACCATTCTTAATAACATACAATTAGTTTTTCTGAAGATATTGATTGAAGCTATTTTTTAATTCGAAAATTCATAATCTTGGTTTATCAATCAGATCGACCATCTAGAAAATGCATAGTACTTTATCTGCAGAATAAGTTAAGTATAAAATAACAATAATATGTTCTGATGCAGGATAGTGTCAAGCATCTGTATGTATATATAATTAAATTGTAGTTAATGGAGATTGTTGGATTATAGTTCTTCTAGATCGAAGAATTTGAACCAATTTCTATGCAACATATCCAGAGTTTATCATCTACTATCACTTTATCTATTTGTTGCATTTTTTTAGTCAGTGATGTGCAACAAAATTTGATTGATCAAAAAGGGTTGCTAGTCGCTGTATTGAGATGATGAATTTTTTTATCAAAAAGTACTTTTAATAAATGTTTTGAAACAAATGAAATATATGTAAACTAAGGATGAACTACTAGCTGAAATACTTACGGAGAATAAAAACTTGATTAACTCTTTCTTATTGACTTTTATTTATGTCACACCAATTAATTTTGATATGTTCTAAGTAGTTATTCTTAGATTTTTGTTGAATATGAGTTTATATGTAATTATTTATACTATTTTTAATCTTATGCTAAGAAATCATATTTCGATATTGATAATATCTATAATAATTATATTAAAATCGGATCATTTTCTGCGTCATATTATTTAATAACATTTTCTTTTTTTTTGTTTTTACTTATTGTTGATGAGAAATTTTAACAGCTGATGAAATACTCAATAAATCATACTATATATATTTAAAGACTACAATGAAACTAAATCGATTGATTAATTGAAATGATGATTTTCATAGGATCTCTAATTTTTAGTCTTTTAGTTTCATTAACATTTTCGTTATCAACATGTAATTTATCTATGTGGATTAATACAAAAGATTTTACATGTTCAGGATCACCTAATGCAACTTATTCAGCTATGAATTATAATGGAAATTGTACAATGTTTCCCAATGATCCTGAATGGACAACTTATAAACTTATAATCGATATTGAAACACGAACTGTTCAAAATTTTATTGCTTATAATTTTAAGAATTGTTATAAAGGCAATGAATTATTTTTTGCAAAAACACCTCTATTATTAAGTGTTTGTGTTCCATTATATTTAGTTGTTGATCCAAGTAGTAGTGTACCAATGGGTGGTTTAATTTTTAATTGTGAAGATTGAAGATTTATTTTTTTATTTTTCTCAATCATTAATTATGAAAATAAAAATAATTATTGTAATTTTTCATTTGTAAAAAATAGAATTGTATATTTACATTCGTAATATTTCTTACTAATGAAAAATAAAACTTAAAGATAAAAGCATTTAGAAGTTGTAGATTTTTTTGAATAGATTTTCTATAATTGATGTTAATGTTAAAATCAAAATTTGTTTCTATGTTTAATTTTTCATTAGTCAAATGTCATGTAAATGCAATTTTTTTTTGTTATAAACACTACCGATTTTCGATTACTTTAGTTGACGATAAATTTATTTTTTGTTTTATTCGAAAACAATTATGAAGAATCGCTTTCTTTCTCAATTGCAATACGACAGATAAAGTTGGAATATTAAAAAAAAAATACTCAGCAATGTTTGAAGTATCTAATTTTGTTTTGAAATATTTAACATTCGAATTCTCCTAATTTTTCTATAATTTGATTAGATGCTTTCATACATTGAATATATCAAGAAGAAAGCAATGATTTTAATTTAAGCACAAAATCTACTTACAAATAAAATTTCACCATAAAAATATTTTTTTTTTATTCACTTTTTTCTTTCAATACTCAATTATATGATAAGAATCGATCAAAACTGTTATAAATCAGTCGAAAAAAATCTATAAGTGCAAATCCTTTTGATGTTATTCTAGTTTAGAGCTTCTGTTTTTTATATTGAAAGTATAATTTTTAAAATTAATAAATTATTTTTGAACATTTTCATCAATAATACTTATGTCATGTAAAGTATTTATAAACCATTACTTCATTATGCATATTATAAAAAAAAAGAAAAGACTACATAAAGTATTTGAAGTCGTAACGTAGAGAAATTTTTATATTTACATTTTATTTTCAATGAATTATAATAAATTATTTACAATTCATTTTCAATAGCAAAAAAATATGTATGTCAAATAATATATTTACTGTTAAAATCAAAAAAAGATTTATTCATCTTTCGAAATTTAATGTATTTGATTTATTAAATGCAGTAATAACAAAAAAAAATCAAATCTCGATTTGAAAATGAAGAAAAGAAAAGAATTAATGTGTCGATACATTATATTGGTTTCATTTTCTATTTCATTCATTTGTTAATCTTAAAATTTTTTCTTAATGTTGCAAGCTAAATATTCAAATACACCATTGATTACACAAACAGATGCAAAACAACATTTGCATAATATTCGTTATCAACGTCAAAATCAATTAGCAACTATAATCAATGAATGTCATCAACTTCGTATATCACATAAACGTATTTTTGATAATCAATTAAATTTTTCTTCAAATGAAAAATCTTTAATGTTAAAACCATTAAATAGAGAAGCAGTTTTTATTTTTAATTCACAAACTGAATCAAATAATTCATTATCTGTTATAAAAGAAGATTCACAATATTTATCTGAATCTTCATATACATTTTTAGAAAATCAATTACCAAAGTAAAGAAGATTCCTTGTTTTTTTGTATTGACAAAAATAATTTTAATATTTGTAGTAATCGATTATTATCAAGACATATAAAAAAGAATCAACAACAACATTTAAGTGTCTCATCTATTGAAAAATTTCCACCAATATCAACTAATAAAATCAAATCAAATAAATCTACTAAATTTGTTGATGCTATAAAACAAATGAAAAATCGATCATCAATTCAACGACATTTAATAAATAATAAATCGAATAATAATTATTTATTCAATGAAAAATTTATTTTTAATACTTCAATTAAAGAAATACAACCAAAACTTCCTTCAATTCTTTGTCCATCATCATTTTATTATTCAAAACAAATTCAAACTCGTCAATGGTTATGTAAAAATTATTTTTCAACTCGAACTCTTCCGCTTATTTAAGCATGTATTTACAAAAATATATATATATATATGCATTATTATACAAAAAATTTGTCATTTTAAATCATCATGATTACAAGTTTTCGTGGTGTTATAGGTTTTGATGACGATGAAATTTTTTCATATGGACATGGATGATCAGAATCCTAATTCAAATAAAAAAAAAAAAAAAAAAAAAATTAAATTTATAAAGACAACAAAAAAAATCAAGCTTTACTAACCTGCCAGAAAAGAGTTTTACATGATTGACATTGATGTATCATTTCTGCATAAGCATCTCGAAGACCATGTTGTCTTCGTAAACGGAAATAAATTTTTTTCCAATCAATATTATCCATATCAACATCTTTTTGTTGTCGTCGAATAAAACCAAGAATTTTTTCTCCTAATACTAAATTATTACTATTTTTTGTTTCATCACCAAAATGATAAAGACATAATTGACGCCAAAGAAGTAATTCTTGTGTAACTCGATATAAATTTGTATTTATCATTCCAATATTAATTATATCTGTTCCATTATCTAATCGTTGTATAATTTCACATTGCATTTCAATTGGAAGATAATCAAATTTTGTTTTACTATTATCTTCATCTATTTTTAATTTATTTATTCGTACTTGTTTTATTGTTTCTTTCATATGTGTTAATTTTTCAATATGTTGACGCCATAATGGAGCTGAACCAATATAATAATAAAATGGATATGCGGAATGAATTGAATTATGAAATTGTGTAACTATTCGTTGCATCAAAGGAATATTATCTCCAGTTTTCAGAGCTAAAGCAAGATAAAACATACAAAAAAAATAAAAATATTCATGAATATACATATACCCGTATCAATCATTCGCTCTATAACATGAAGTAAAGAACGTTGAGCATTACCACTTAATTCACTTAATTTTTCTTTAAATAAAATTTGTACAACCTATAAATATATATATATATATGAGATATAATCAAATATGATCATTAATTATTCTTACTTTTGAAATATAATTAAAACGTCGTAAATTACTAACTGAATTTGCAATATCAAGTGCATTAAATATATCCGAAAGACTTGTATTTATATTATTTAACTAAATTAACAAAAATATATAATTAATATAAAACTCCTGATATCAAAACTTACTGAACTTGATAATGATATTTGTTTTCGTGGTTGCCATGAACCAATAGCAGTTTTGGTCCATTGTTCTCCATTAGCACGCCAATCTCGTCCAATAAATGGCATTGTATTGAATAAATAAGAATCTGATTATGTTTCACTATTGAGATGATTAACGAAAAAAAAAATAAAAGAATAACGAGGTTGAATTTTGAAGTAAAGGTCAAACAGGGATAAATTGTACTTGTAAATATATATATATCTTGTCTTAAGTATTTTTATGTAATGTATGCATGTATGAATATATGTGCTTATATATATATATAAGAGCTCAGAAGAAAAAAAAAACAAGAAGACGAATAAATGAAAAGAACAAGGATTTCCTCTCTTCTCACGAGTTTTTGCTCGTGCTTTCATCCATATGATCGGCGTCATTTGTACATACAGAACAAACAAAACTATAGTAAAGGAATAGATTAACAACGAACTGTAGTAAGAAAATATAAGTACGAAAGAATTTTATCATGTATCACCATGTGATTATTTTTCTCGTTGAAAAAATGATGTCACATGCATTGAGTACGTAGACATATGACGCAGAAAAACTTAGTTCGCAATATTATTAGTAAGTATTTTGTTAATAATTATAGGCAATCTGTAACTTTATGCAAGAATGTTTTGGTTACTTTTTATATCTTAATAGCAACTCTGGAAAAATAATGGCTAATATCTGATTTATGACGCATTAAATAATAATTGCGCAGTAGAATTAACAATAATGAACTTCAAGTACGATTAATATATCAAATTGTTTTTTTTCAAAATCAAAGAAAAAAAAAACCATAAAATTTGAACTTTATAATGTCAACGAACTTTGTTCGGAAAACAAGAAGTATATTGATATTAGATTTTGATATTCTTCTTCTTTGCATTATATTTTATATTAAAAAAAAAATATTCTATTTTATTGCATCTATTATATAGACACTATTATTTGAAATTTATAGGCAATATTGATTTATAAATAAAATATTGTTTTGATTCGAACAATTTTTCAAAATCGATCAAAATTATAATCATAAGCATGTTTCATCGAATTTTAAAATGATTTCACAATAGAATATTTGTATCGAATAATATTATTGTAATTATTCAATTGATAAAAGTTTTAATATGAATATGATTATTCCATAAAATGAGATAATACATTTAGATATATATTGCATAATACAAAAAATTTTCTACTCATTCACTCCCTTGGTAAAAACATAATATCAATAAATTCATTAACCATTTGCATTATTTGTAAAAGAAAAATTTTATTCGAATTAAATATTGAAAATTCAATTAATGATTTCATTTATTCAATTAATTTCGACTTTTGTAATTCGTTTTAATATTTTAATTTAATATTCTGAATCTTCTATAGCTTTTTCTATGAAAATAATTGATTTGAATCTTCGCTCTACACTAGTATCAAAGAGGAATGGATGTAAGCTTCATGCCTTGACAATGGCGACAGTTAGCGATCTACGAAATATTAATGCACATGATCTACCCTCGCTAAATTCGATTATTGGCTATCCTACACTAGGTCGAGTAGAGAAATACGCATATTATCAACAACGTTTATTCAGCATGCAATTTGTTTATTTGGATTAAAACTAGGCATACAGCATCATTACACCTATGGTCGATTCAAAAAACAATATCTTCATTTTTCATTGAATTTCGAATGGTTAATCCAAAAAGAGTTTTTTTTCTGCAATATTGTTTCATATAGACTCATATGGATCACGTGATTTAATTTCTTCATATTTGAGAATGGTTTTTGAAGATTGTTCTGGAATGAATACAAACAAACCATGAAAACAATCCTATTTCCTTCGATTATAACTATGTCTAATGATAAATAACTACACAAAGACCATGAGAATGAAAGAATTATTCATCTGATTATTTCTATTCTGAAGTATGTGTAATACTAGTTCTCATTAAGGACATTTCTTATAGTTGATCATCAAAGTCAAAGAACATCGGATCTATGAAGAATATTATGATTTAAAAACAAAATTATCAGCATTTATTTGATTCCGAAGCCATTTAGAACTCTACTCTTTGATTTAAATTTATGGATATAGCCATTTTTGTAGAACTCACATATGATTTCGAAGAAAATAGTGAGTGTAAATGTTAAATCGAGGTTTTGGTGGATACCCTATCTCATAGGCCCTCGTCCTGCTTAGATCATTCTAAGAATCTAAATTCTAATTGTTTAGTCTAAATAGTGCAGTTTTGAGCGTCTTATGCAGTGAAAGAGTCTCCGATTCGGATAGACGTTGGAAAATCTGAATTGATTTATTTTAGTTTCAGACAAAACTTGTCGAGAGAAAGAATTGTGCGCGGTATAACTTACTAAGTGATAAAATCAATGTCTATAGCAGGCTAATATAGTATTTAGTTGAATCGACGAAATGAAGAGTAGAATTACATTTGTCGCTATCTATAGAATGTATCGCACATATGTTATCATTATGAGATAAGAGCCTATAGATTGAAGACGTATCTGATA